TATGGGGCCGTGGAGGCCGCCGGCGAAGAACGCCAGAATTGGGCGGCGGGAGGGAGATGGGCCGCCTATAATTCCTGTCAAGAAACCCGTTTGGAGGTTGATTTCTGGGAAGGAAATGTCCTTTGACGGGTTGAAACCTTCGGACGTGTTGGCGTTGCAGAGTACTCTAATGGAGTTTTTGTACAAATGGGGAACTGATCTTGAAGCTTCCGGCCCCTGCGATCAAACGACGATCAAACGATGAACTGAGAAACATTGTTAAGGAACAAAATTATGAACATGTTAGCTGATATTCACCCAATCATGGCAGGACAGCATGAAATGATCGGCGCCGAGGGTGCGATTCCAGAACGGATATTTGGTTCGAATGACATTGACATAATCGATGACTGTGCGTCGTATCGGTGTGAAGTCATGGGAGTCGCGCACGTAGACGAACTGAACGAGCATGGCAACACTTAGAGGAAGGAAAAAGACATGGGCTTTATCGGGATCTTTGGTTCGAAACCGGGTGTCCATTTCAATGGCGTGGATGAAGTTGCCTTCGGTCGAGTAAATGCTCTTGCAGGGGCCATTGTGAAACAGGGGAGGCTCTCCTTCCTCATACACGAAGATCTTCAGCTCCTTCTCCATTTCTAAGTAGCTCCTGCAATCGACATTAATGGAAATCATAAGCGGTGGCTTCCCCAAAAGGTCTAGCCTCATGGGGCCATGACAATGGAGATGTATTAGCATATGTGGGACTCCCAACACTACTCCCCTCGAACAAAGTACACCATAGAGCCTCTCTTGAAGCCTATGGAGCCCACGAGCAGCCTCCCAACAAGGCTTGACCCCTTTCTCTAGAGCCCTTGAACAAAGTACACATTTTGTTCCATACTTGTCACTTTTTTACCACACCTTTGAAGCTCACATTCTTTGTTCCATATTTGAGAGTTTTATTGATATGGGCATGACTGATACCATGTTAGTAATCGCAAACCCCACAATGGCTTTGCTTTGGGCTTCTCAAAAAGTGCTCGTGTCAATGCATTTCTCACTTATAAACTCATTATCAACCCGTTTATTAGCCGAAGAGGGACTTCTCTCCCAACAATCATATTAAAAAAAAACTGAAACTTTTGACAAGAACAGGGGAAAAAATCAAACAAGAAATGTAAAAATTTGACCTGTGAAACGCTTTGGCATTCCAATACATCGGACCATTGGGAACAAGATCAGGATCATGGGTTTGGTTCAAGAACTTGGCTTCTTTAATGGCGGCTCTTGCTCGTCTAAGCCCTGCTTCGATTTTTTCTAATTTTGTAAATTCCCTCTGTTTTCTGGACTTCACCACCGCTGGTTCATAATTACCTTCAGACGAAACGTTTCTCCCTTCATTAATGGCGGTTTCTTCCAAAACTGCGTTGACTGTCGTCATGTTCTGTTAAGATATTAATACATTTCCAAATCAGCTAAACTAACAGTTTTTCAGTCAACGATAGTCATCATTATTAAAAACCCATTAACGAAAACTCCTTAATGGGCTAAGTAATTATTGAAAAATGCATGCAAAAGATCCTAAGTTCACTGTCTAATCTGCCCTTGAAAATCTCTGCATGCAGAGCAAATGGAAGAACGAAAGAGAATCTTACTGGGAGCTGTGGAAGACTCTGTTTTTCATCGATCGGCGGTGGTGGTGAGGATGAGGACCACGACGACGACGGCGGCGGCGGAGGCGGCGGAGAAGAAGAAAAAGGAGAGGAAACAGAGTGGTTTGAAACAGAGTCGTTGACCGCCGCCGTCGTATTGGAACGAAAATCCTCTGTTTCGGAGGGAGAAGAAACAGAGCTCCAAGCGGAAGCATAGTTATCGAAGAAACTGGTCCAGTCGGAGGAAAACTGAGGACCCAAGACAGCTAGAAGACAAGAAACGGCAACCAGAGGGATTACAAATATCGGCAGCTTCATCTCTGAGCTCTGCAACAAAGGGGGGTTTCTTTTCTTTTCTTTTTTTTTTTTTTTCACAAAAGAAGAGCAAACAGAGGCGTTTTGGAGGGGAAAGGAATTTGTTACGGACATAAATAGCTTGGATGTCACTGCCACGTGTTGACCGGTTTTTTTTACTCTTTATTTCTTTCTGCATGCAAATTTTCGTTCTTCCTATTTTACCCTTTACTCTTTCATTTAATTACACCTCTATTTTTTATGAATGTTTGACTGTTCAATGTTTCTCTTTATTTCTCCATTTAATTTACTTTAATTAAATAAATGGATAAATAACGTTTTATTTAAACCACTAAATTGGTATCAAAGTTTTTTTTTTCTTATAATTGTTCCTCATCTAATATAAAAAATATTTTAGCTTTAAATTTTTGTTAAATTTTTTTTAGTTATCATATAACGCTCTCATTTAGATGTAGTATCGATTCATTCATATACCTCTATATTACAGATAACCCGTCATAATAAATTTTAATATTTAAATCTAACCGTTTAAAAGAGATCTTCTCATTATTTCATTCAATAAATTTTTAAATTTTAAATTAAAATAGATAGAAATGATGATTTTTAGTAGATAAAAATATGAAAGAATTTTAGGAGAGAAAAATAAAACATTAAATAAAAAAGAAAAGAAAAATTATGATTAGATGTTCTCGTATTATTAAACTGCTCACAATACCTAGCAGAACGGGAATGGAATCGGAACATCAAAGTGATGTGACATCGAAAAATCGCATCTTTCGAATATAAATTCGCAATTCATTATAATTAAATTAATTTTCATATAGTTTAATAAATATAGCAATCGACCAATTTCTCAGTTTATTAAAGAAATTAATGATATTAGTGTTATTAGCAATTTAAATTATATTATTTTAGATAAGATTTATTATATGGAATATTAAGTAATTAGTTGAGAAAAATATGATCATAATTAGGGCATTAAAAGCACCGGAGATTGGGGGTTGCGGTGGATGTCTGCCACTGCCACCGCCGCCGCCGCCACGTGTGATGTATGGTTGATGAGTAAGTGGTTGGCCACCCATTATTATTGTCACAATACCATAGTATATATTCGATCACATGAATTCTAGACTTGGACTGTCATTTTGCTAATATCATAAATATATGGTCTAATAAATCTTATGTTAAATAATTAATGCTTTGTTTTTTTTATATATAATTAAAGTAATTATTTAACCTTTACATTTTTAGTATCTCAAACTTTAATTAAATACAAATTTTATGAAATAGATTAAAATTAAAAGTTTAATTAGGAAGGTATATTTCTTCCATATTAATTTTATGTCTAATATATTTATTATTTCAAAAAATATATAATATATGGTAGATCAATTTTATTCCTAAACTTATCCGTTCAAATTAATTTTAATTTCAATAGACTTCAAATCTTATCTTGAATCCGCTCTATAATTTTTCCATTTAAAATTTATAAATTTTCTAATGAATTTTAGAAAAATAACAATGATAATAATTACGATGACATCAAACATTTGGGTCTTCCATAAAATCAATTTTTTTTTACATAATTAAGTTTGGTTCATTCGTAAATAAAAAATTTACTATTATAAGAGAGAAACTATAAAAATAATTTGGTTTTTGTATAAAAAACGTACCTTCATTATTTAAAATAATATAGTAAAATAACTTTAAAATTTTAATATCATTATGAAATTAAGAGAAGATAAAAGTAAATCATAAAATTACAATAAATATATAAATAATTTCATATCGAAGAGTAAATAATAAATAAAGAAAGTAAGTAACAACATCTCAACCATATTAAAATTAAAAATTAAAAAAAGATCGTAGTAAATCATAAATTAAAAAATATAGATAACAAAATCTAAATCATTTTAAAATTAAAATTAAAAAATGAATAAATAATTTCGTATAAAAAGTAAAAAAATTAAATAAAAAAATCTAGAAAAAAAATCTAAATAATATTGAAAAAATCTTAACAACAAAATCTAAATCATATTAAAATAATAAATAAATAATAATAATAATTTCTGAAAAAAAATCAAAATACAAAATCTAAACCATATTAAAAAAAAAAATTCCTATTAAAAACAAATCATAAATAAGAATACAAAATCTAAAATAATATAAGGTGGTAAAATTAAGAGAATGGGAAGTATCTAAATAACAAAATTTAAACCATATTAAAATAATAAATAAATAATAATGATAATTTCCTATGAAAAAAAAATCAAAATACAAAATCTAAACAATATTAAAAAAAAAAAAAATCCTATTAAAAACAAATCATAAATAAGAATACAAAATATAATATAAGGTGGTAAAATTAAGAGAATGGTAAAATCAAAAGAATCTAAATATAAATGGTAAAATTATAAATATAAAATAGAGTAAATAGTAAAGGAAGAATCTAAATAACAAAATTTAAATCATATTAAATTTAAAATAGAAAGAGTACGAAAAAGTAAATCAATAGCAAAATTTAAACTAATAAAAAAATAATTTTGTATCAAAATAAATCATAAATAAAAAAATGTAAACGAACTTAAATTAAACACCATCTTAAAATTAAAATTAAAAATATAAATAAATAATTTCAAAAGTATATTATAAAGGAAAGGATTTAGATAACAAAATCTAAACCATCTAAAATTAAACTAAAAAAATGCATAAATAACAAAATTTAAATGATATAAAATTAAAATTTTAAAAAATTAATAAAAACACCCGTACAACAAAACCTAAACTATATCAAAATTAAAATTAAAAAATAAATAATTTCGTATATCTAAAAAAATCTAATTACAAAATCTAAATAATATCAAAATTAAAATTTTAAAAAATAAATAAATAAACTAGATAACAAAATCGGAATCATATTTAAAATTTTTAAAAAAAAATTCCTATATAAATAGGAGGTATAGGAAATCACCTCAGTGTAGAAGCAACAAGTTTGGAGGTATAGGAAATCACCTCCGTGTAGAAGCAACAAGTTTGTAAATTTGAGATACAGACATGGGTTATAGAGAGAGCTTAGTTTTGGTAAACAGTTTGGTTTTGGCAGTCTTGGCATTAGCTTTGTTTTCTTCTGGTGAAAAGCTTTCGGTTTCTTACGATGGAAGAGCTCTCACGATTAATGGACAAAGAAAAATTATCGTCTCGGGTTCAATTCATTATCCTCGCAGCACTCCTGAGGTTTTCTTGTTTTTTCTTTTAATAATTTTAATTAATTATTTAATTTCATAAATAATTAATAAGTTGTTGGTTTATTTTGGGATGTAGATGTGGCCACTTTTGATAGACAAGGCTAAACAAGGTGGCATTGACGCAATTGAAACCTATGTGTTTTGGAATGCACACGAGCCTCAACAAGGCCAAGTAAGTTCACATTAGATATTATTCTTTTTTTAAATAAATTTATTATTTCTAAGTTTTTTTATTTTCCCTTTTTCTTTTTTAGTATGATTTTTCAGGAAATAATGATCTGGTCAGATTTATTCGGACAATTCAAGAACAAGGGCTGTATGCTATTCTCAGAATTGGACCATATGTTTGTGCCGAATGGAATTATGGGTATTTTTTTTTTTATCATTTTATTTTTATTTTGTGTTTATTTTTTAATTAATTTTATTTTATTTGCAGTGGATTTCCTGTTTGGTTGCATAACCTTCCAGGCATTGAGTTCAGGACCAAGAATAAAGTTTTCATGGTAATTTTGTTAATTATCACTACTTTCATTATTATTTAACATTTAGTTTTTGTGGTAATTTTGTTAATTATCACTAAATATATATAAATTTTTATTGTGATTTAGGATGAAATGGAAAAATTCTCCACATTGATAATAAATATGATGAAGGAGTATGAGTTATTTGCATCACAAGGAGGACCCATAATTATTGCTCAGGTTTTATTTTATTTTTCATTAGTTATTTTTCTTTTTTTTTTTT